AAGACAGCACATTGCCTTCTGGGTCCATTCTTTGTATAGGGCCTTGCAAATCTTCAAAGTAAAGTGGTATAACCAGCTGCCCTGTATAATGCTTCACCAACTTCAAAATATCTTTGTCAGAATCAATCTTCAGCAACTTCTTTGCTGTTTGAAGTAGGGGTGTTCACGGTCCGGATTGGTCCGGTTTTAGCCCAAACCATGACCAAACCGGACCTAACGGTTAATTTTTTTTCTTGTCCATAACCGGACCGGTTTTATTTTTTAACCGACCACAATCCGGACCGCATTGGACGGTCCGGTTTGGCGGTTAACCGGTTAAATCTAAAACTTGTTTTGGGCCTTCAATTTTTATTTTTTTCATTTTGGGCTTAATTTTTGTTTTTCAATTTTGGGTCCTAAAGAGATTATTTGGGCTTAAAAATTAAGAAAAACAACAATAATGAAATAAAAAGTACACAATTCGTCTCATAAGCATAAAAATGCACATTTCCTCCCATAAACATAAAAATACAAAAATGATGAAGATTAATTATGCAAACTGAACTCAAGCAAACATTCATTTTTCAGTCAGTTTATACACCTGAAATAATAAGAGCAAAGCATTCATAGTGAATGTATTGTATTTGTCGGCCATAGTGAATGACTGAATGTATATATATATATTTGTTATAGTTTTTTAATATTTACCAGTCCAGTCCGGTTAAACCGGCGGTTTGCCGCAGGTAATCCGTTAACCGGACCGGTTATTCCGGATTTTTAAAAAAATTAACTACCAGATTTTTTAAGGCTTTTTTAACTGACCATTTAACCGATCCGCGGTCCGGATTGACGGTTTTTTCCGGTTAAAACCGGACCGTGAACACCCCTAGTTTGAAGAGTCTTTCCAGGCTTGTGTGAAAAAATATCAACTGCAGATGCTTTGCCACCGGCTCTCCTATAGGCATCCATGATTTCAAAAATGGATAACCAATCAACATCGTACCAGTCAACTGCAACTCTTTGGCCACCAAAGTATCGCCTAAAAGGCAACCATATTATCTCTCCCCCAACTCTAACATCAACTACAACAGCCATTTTCTGCAAACAAACAATATAATTCAGAACACAATAACACAATTCAGAATCACAATTTAGAACACAACATATGATTCAGAGCACAATTCAAAGCAATAATAACCCTATTTATAGGATTCATAATACAATTCAGAGCACATTGATTCAAATGGTTGATTCTGAAGCACAAAAATGCATCAAACATACATCACCTAAACCCCTAATTTCTAAATCAGAAGCACAAAAATTACATAAAATCCCTAATTCCCAAATCTAATAGCATAAAACAAAAAAAGCCCTGATTTCAAAATATGAAAACCCTAAATTCTAAATTCAAAGCACAATATTACATAAAAGCCCTAATTTCAAAATCAAAGCCCTATAAATAATTAAGCCTGATTACAAAATCAAAAAGCCCTAAGTTTCAAACCCTAATTTCAAAATCAGAAGCACAAACAAATAACCCTAATCTTAAAATCGAAAAGCCCTACTTTTCCAAATAGATACACAACCAATATCATGTCAGAAACACAATTAAATAAGACAAACCTTCAAAATCAAAATGCCCTAATTTCCAAATCAAAATGCCCTAATTTCCAAAATCAAAATCCCTAATTTAAGTAATCAGATAAAACTGAAAACTGAAAACTGAAGCACGAAGCACGAAAACTGAAAACTGAAGCTATCGTATTTCGCCCAATTTCATCTCAGAAGCACGAAGTCACGAGAACTGAAAACCCTAATTTCAAAATTAACTATATAAATCGACTATAACATAATGAATTAATCGACTATAACTATATACCAGATTCAAATAATACCTTATATGTCTTCAAAATGAAATTCGCCGCAAGTTAGAACCCTAAATTGTCGAATTTCAGAGATGGAATCGGGTGGAACTCCTCAAACGATCTGAATTTAGGGTGATGGGCTTCAATTTTCATATGAATTTAGGGTGCGGGGCTTCAATTTTGATATGAATTTAGGGTGTGGGGCTTCAAGTTTTATATGAATTTAGGGTTTAGTGAGTCGATCGCGAAGAGAGAGAGAGAGAGAGATTATGTTTCTGGTTCAAATTGTATAATATAAAATATAAAAGAGGGCATAACGGGAAGTTTACAAAAACATGAACGGGGTTAACACTCAAACGTAACTTGGGGAGCGTCAGCATGCAAAACCTTAATAGAAGGGGGACTGATGCAATTTGTTAATTAGAGGGAGGAAACGCGCAGATTAATGATAATACAGGGGGGTTTGGTGCATTAAACCCATGAATAATGTTATATGTATTAAATTGAAGCATTATTTTAAACTATTGATAATACTTGATAGTCATGATAAAAGTCGAATATAATCTTGTTTATTTGAAATGCCATTATTTAGACATAATTGAAAAATGTGGCCAGTAAATTGTCATGTGTGGACAAAACCGCCTTCCTCTGCGAAAATTTCACTGTGCAAAATTCCCAAAACCTAAGTTTCAGAAACCCCCCTCAATCAGCCTCCTCTCTACAACCAAGCTCTCTGCTCCACCTTGGTGTTGACCGGCATCGGACCAGCCTCCTCCCCCCGTATGGTTGCAGTCTCCTCTCCCAGTGAAAAGGAGCTTGGGTTCTCTAGGTCCGGGTCTAGCTAGCCTTTGCCTTTCAAGAGTTGGGATTTTCTAGTTCTGTTCTTCTTGGAGCTGAATTCTTGTGTTTCTTGGTGGTCACCTTCAGGTGTTAGCTTCGTGTGTGGTTTTGGAGTAGCTTGCAGGCAACGGGAGGCCTTTAGTTTATTTTATGTGTAGTTTAGTTTTGTTGGTTTAAGTTTGTGTTGTATCTTTCTGCTTTCTCGCTTTGGGTCTCCCTTTTTGTCTCCCTTTTGGGGAGTGGTTTAGTCTCCCAGTAGAGGAGTGTAGTGTCTATTTTGGTGTATTGTGTGTGGCTCTGCGAGAATTGTTCATTATAAAAGAAGATATGTTATTGGAGTGACTACATCCCAACATTTTTATTCTTATACACTAAATATTTATCGAATCTAACTTCTTGTAAGAATGTCGATCCGTTCATCTTTGTGTAACCACGATGAAAATATTATTATATGTCAGGCTTATATGAAAATTTATCAGGACCCAATTATTAAGATGTACCAAATATCTGATTGATTTTGGTATTGTATAGAAGAAGCTTTTAAGAGAGGAAAACTTGAGCATCGAGAGGTTCACACCAAGAGATATTTGCAAGCACGAATTCAAACAATTGATAAAGCAACCAAGAGACTCCAAGCATGCATAAAAGTTGTAGAAGATATGTATCAAAGTGGTGCTTCAAATAATCAAAATATGGTGAGTAATAAAATCTTATTACATTTTTAAGTTTTTAAATTTATTATTTACATTAGCAATGGTTAATTATTTTTATAAACTTGTAAATGCTCAAAGCAAAAGTTTTTTTCGAAAAGAACCCAAATTCAAATATGGGTGGAAATACGATCACGTTTGGGATATTATCACAAATTTTGAAAAATTTAAAGATGGTGCTACGAGCAACAATAAAAAACAATGTGGTCGTTATATCTCTTCGGGGTCCGAAAACCTGACTCCCGAGTCTTCCGGCCAAGCATCCTCGTGCATTTCTTCATTTTCTCTAAACATAGACGACTCGGATGATTTTCCATATGGAAGACCTATCGGGATGAAGGAATCCAAACTAAAAATAAAGATAAATGGTGAATCATCATCGATCATCAATGCGATGCAAGAAGAGAACAACAAACTTCTTGAGGAGTTCTAAAAATCAAACAAATAAATGAAACACCAATTGAAAATGCAAATTAAATCCCACGCTCTAAAAGAAATGAGAGAAGAAGATAAATTCTGTTTCTAGATGTTAGTTTCATAAGAGATCCTAGAGTTTCTTCATAAGTGAAGGTGAAAAGGCACAAATCTAGGAGAAAATAGCTCAACAAGCCCTATCGAATTCATTTCCAACGAATACATTTGGTCAATTTTTCAATGATCTTGAAGGAAGTGGTGTCAACTTGCCATATTACTAAATTCTCATGCTTGTTTTTAGTTTACGGGTTTATGATGAATATTTTTTTTAGTATCGTGTGAGGTTGTATTTCGTTTTCAACACTAGTCATTTAAATATATTTTTTCAAATCGTGATCTATCATATTTTAATCTTATTTTATTCTATATCAGTAATGTTGATGTTATTTAATGCTATTATTTTCTTTTATTGTCAAATAAAAATGCCACGAATAATATCTATATTTTACACTATTATTGTGAAATATATAAAATTAAAAGATAAATATGATATTCACTATTTTAAATATTATACTATCTAAATTTCATGATAATTTTTTAATATTTTACACTCTTATTGTGATAAATATAAAATTATTATGTATATTTACTCTATTATGAACAAATATATATCATATTATCTAAATTTCATGAAAGTAAAATATAAAAGAGAAATTTTAGTATTTTTTCACGTTTTATCAATTTAAAAGAGTATTTTAGTAATTTACAATCAAAAACTAAAGAGAAATTTAGAAAAAAAAAAAATCAAATTCATTTTACACATTTATGAAAGATAAATGATTAAATTATATATATATAAAAAAAATAGATGCAAATTTATGTCCAATAGAGGAGAGAGAGTGTGCAAAACCGATTTTGCAATGGTTTTGCCGACCGTACTGCAATTTTTATGATTTGGAAGGTCTAATATATATTATAACAAATTTCCACCGCTACTCTTCTTGCAGAAGCCTCTCAAAATGAGCGCGAAACAAATACACCTTAAACACGCCCCTTTTCTCGAACACGAACTTTGCTCTGCAAGTTTCGTGTGAATATATACCCTCCTTCCCTACAAATTCTCACAAAAAGAAAGGAAAAAGAAAGAAAGAGCAAAAACAAATAAAAGACACACGCCTTTAATTTTCGCTTAATGGATTTTCCTGAAAAGTTTCATCCTCAGTTGGATATTAAAATCGGAGGCGATGTGGATTCTAATCTAGAGTGGGCTATTGCTGATTTTGGGTTTACTCGATTACTTAAACCAATTTTAGCAAGGCCAGAGAGTGAGTATATTGCTGATGATGAAGAAAAAGATGAGTATCTTTCAACTACTCCAACTTGTGCGGAATCCAGATTTGCAAGCAAATTGCAGTGCCCGCCCGCTCCTAAAAAGCTAAAATCGGCTCCCAAAGGATACCATAATAAAGACAGAGGAGTTAGTAGGGAATTTTTCCGTCCACCTGATCAGCTTGAAGCTATTTTCTTCCGCCGCTAAACTTGAAGCTATTTCAATTTGGTGTTGTTAGTTCCCCTTTTTTTTTTTC